GCCGCATAAATTAGGTCTTTATGGAAGTTCTTAATGAAATATTTATTAGAAAGTGGAAATTTTGATACTATTGAAAAGTTACTGATAAATATAATTAAGTTTACTATTCAAAATAAGGATAAAAATTTTATTTCAAACCTTTCATTAATGAAAATAGTTAGTGATAATTTTGAGAACTTAACTCGATATCCTGAGCTTATTAATTGGTTTTTATCTAGAATAGCTTTTTTTGTACCTGAAAATGTATTTTCTGAAATAGTTAGTATTGATTCTAGTTCTAGTCATCTTCATAAGTTTGGCGAACCAAATTTTTATGAATTTCCTTAATTGAGCTTAAAGAAAGAGAAATTCCAAATACACATTGAACCGCATACTAGAATTTGTGAGGGATATTTTAAAACGTTACTATTTTCTGAAACAAAAAAATACAACTGTTAAATTGGTTTTTCCTTTAATGGGATTTGCCAGTTATCATGGATTCAACGCATCTCCTTTTGCATTTTCGACAAAGACTAATCTATATGAATTATGGATTGGTGAAGCACTTCTTAATTACAAATGGGGTACATATGGAAGTATTTGGCACATTACATTCTTAGTTCTGCATATTATTTACATTATTTGTTTTGTGTCAGCAGTAATTTTTTATGATCAGCTTACATCAAACGCTCGATCAGTTTTATTGTTGGTTGCTATATTATACTCTTTTGCAGATTTTTATCATCAATTTCGGTCCAATTTATACAAAGTCTACAAATATGTTAAAAAAAATTAAATATTGATATTAATTAATTAAATTGCAACTCAAAAAAAAAAAAAAAAACTTACCATAGCTTTATAACATAAAAATGAATTTTTATTGTTTAAATCGCTGATTTTATTGCTAAGTATCTCAATAAATAAATTCACCATATATATTGCAATAAAAAATGGAATCACAATTAATAAAATTATCAACATGAATCCTTCTGGTGAAATATTTCTTTCAGTCACGACTGTAGTATACGATGAAATTACATCTGAGTTACCTATTTTAATAAATAAAATCAATAAAATAAAGGTTATTTATAGAATAATATTATTGATATAAGTAATTATTATCATGGTTTAAGCTAGAGATCATAGGTTTTCATCCAAAAAAAAAAATACTAATACTATAATAAAATCTACCTGTATTGTAACCTAGCTATAAACAAAATGCATCGCAAAAGCTTCATACAAGATAAATCCGATTTTTAGCTTCAACCATGACAATTACATTAGTATTGAAATGAATAATTACCCGTCAATGCAGAATATGATGCAACAATATTAAATTCCATGAAACTTTTAAATCACTTGAATTAGCGGTTAACTTTAATAAAATATGTAGAGTACTTGTAAATACAAGTATATAGAGTCCAAGAATAGTAAGAAAAGAACGCACTGCATTAAATACA